TGCTGAAGAAGAATGAACAGGAATCAGCCCTCTCTAGTCTCTAGTCTCCTCTCGGTTCTCGGTCTAGTTCTCAATGCTGGAAATTCCTCGCTTGACAGTTTGACTTTATTGTTATTAACACAGTAAATCCTGTCTTGTATTAATGGGTGGTTCTCTGCTAAGAGGAATGTTAAGAGCAGGAACTACAGTACAATATTTGACATTCCCAATCAGAGAAAGTTAAATCTGTGAATCTGTAAATAAATGCAGTCTCTCTTTTTCCTACAAATGTTTGAAGGGATTCCAAAGAGAATTTGCATAAACACAGACACACACATACACCAACCAAGCCTCAAGAAAGCCTCCCAAAACAAATTAAATGCCACAGGGGTCTGTCCATACTGAAAAACAGATATGTTGTTGCTCAGAATCACAAAGGGCAGGCTGTGGATCAGGACGCAGAATCCACCACTTTATATGACTTGACCTTTTTGTACCAGCATCTACTCCTTTCCTCATCTCTTCTCCTGTCTCTCTACCACGCACTCACACACATTACATCATTATTGTCTTTTCTTTTTTCCTTTTGTTTCCCTACTTTCCAACCCTCACTACTTTTCCATCTCTTGCACAGATGAGATCATTGCACTGATTTCATTCCAGCTGTTATGGTTTGTGGGCATCTGGGAGACATTCCAGCGCAGAGCCACAGATCACAGGCCCATACAGAACCTCTTGCCCAGCCATGTAATTCTCAACAGCTGCAGAACATCAAGTTATGACACTTGAGCAAGGACACCAGCCATTCTCAATTAAAATGGAATCTGTACTAAGCAAAAGTACACAGTACGTGTGATGTAATTAGATTGTGCTGCCCGCATAACTGATCAGACCACAAGGATTTTATAAGTGAAATTTATGAACTAATACTTTAACTAGTTGGACAACCCTCATCTTACCGCTATGAAGTCCTACATGTAGACACACCTGTAACCCTCTGGGGACATCTGGTGGTCAGACATAAATTCTACACAGACGATACTCCAGAAAGATCCTGACTATAATCATTTAATCCTTTTGTTTTGTTGAGACTAGCTTTACTTACTCATTGTCTGGGGCCTCATGTGTAAAAAATAATAATTGCAAAAATATATATATTTTGTTTTCACCTTAATAAACCCAATATAAAGAAAAGTATTGATGTGACCCCAAACATGATTTTCAGTAAAGGACTTCTGAAATATGTTATCAGTTAAAATTCATGTTTCTAAGTAGTTCTCATTAAATTACGAAAAGTGATGAATTTTGGTTAAGTGAAATAAAACAAAAACTAACTGAAATGATATTGTGTACCTACAAAACAGATCAAATAAAAATATACAAGAATATATCTTTAGTTTTAGTCTTTTTAGTTTAGTTTTTAGTAGTTTAAATTCTTTAGTCAATTTGGTCGGATTTGTCAACACAACCAGCATGAGGAGACATTAGTGCATAGGTTTATTGAGGATATTGACATGTGTGCGAGTCAACTGCCTTGAACTTCTTAAATCTGACAAAATCCCCCCATATTATAATAAAAGCTAAACTAAAACTAAAAATGTTTAAACAATAAAAACTAAACTGAAAGAGGCAAACACACTCTGGAAAGTCACTGAAGCTAAACTGAATTGAAAACAAAAATTAAAAACTAATGAAAACTACAAACTCTAATAATTCCGTCATAGCGTCAGTCTTTACAGATTACAAATAAGTGTTTACAAGGCTGTTGGAAATGATTACTCTCCTTTAATACTTTACGAAAGAATGCAAAAGAGAAGCTACACTGAGTACCATGGATTTTAAATGAATCTCCAAGGCTTTTATTTGCTTCAATCACTGAACTAAACATGCCTATATTTGGAACAGGAGTCCATATGGGACAGGCCTTCAATTCTTTTTTTTTTTTTTGTTTTCAGAAAGTATTCAAGTGCCTTAATGGGAATCCTATATTTGTCCATGTATGCTGACTGGCGCAGGCTTCATACACAAAACCCACAAAAGATCATCCTGTGCAAGATTATTACTCATTTCATTTATTACTTACTTAACTCAAGGATTGATTTCCCCATAGGGCAGGTTTTTCAACCTCGGTCAATATACTTCAAGAGTTCTGTGTGCCCGAAACACACATAATCTGTAATCTTCCAACAAAAGGAAACAGGAGACAGATACAAACCACAAAAAGTTCATGTTCTGCTCGTACTCTTACCAGCAGAGGGAAACCAACCACAAACATATAAATCACAAGACCAATAGTTTCGTACACACACACTATACAGTAGGCTACCATTGATCATTGTCCATAAAAATATTTTGTGGTATTCACACCTCAATCATCTGATGAATAGATTCTGGGCATGCTGACTTATGTTTTCAGTATTCCAAGGTCAGAGATATGCTGAGTCTAAACAAAGTTAGAATGAATAGACAATACACAGGAAAGTACAGAGAGATATCCGAATCAGAATCAGAATCAGAATCAGAAATACTTTAATAATCCCAGGGGGAAATTACTACATAGAAAGTCCTTGTCAATTTCTACCACTCAAAACCTGATTCAGTCCTTAGGGAGATCAGGGTACCCTAAAATGGTTTCAGTCAACCTTCTCAATACATATAAAAGAATGACTAAAATAATGTAATCTTTTTAAAACTAGTATGTCAGTATGCTGTTTAGTATCAACCTGGCTATCACTATGTCTTTCAATAATTATCTTATATAGTTTATCTGTGTATGTATGATGTTACTTTAATTAATGACTTTTGAAATTTGTGTCTGAAATACATGTTCAGGTGTGGCACCGCTCTTGGCCTCACATTTAAAGGACCAGGCCTTGAGAAATCCAGTTCTTTGTCTGTTTACCTATTTGGGCCAAGTCCCATCTTCTGACCTGCTCATGTTTCTTTTCGTTTTTCATATCTCAGCCGCATTGCCCCATTTGTTGTCCATTTTATTATTACCCCAGGCTTCTTTATTTTCTGCCCTTCCCAGGTTTCACTTTGAGGATGATGGTGAGCGGTAAATGGATTGTCCAACCGGTTTTAATGATAACACATAAATGGCATGCAGACTAACATGTCTTTGTGACATCATTGTGATAACACAAGGAATCACATGCTATTATAGAATGCTGTAATACATAGTCTATTGATCTAAGTAAATATTGCAGACTAGTGTTCCTAAGATGTCTGGTATTTTGATTCTGTAGCTATTAAAATCCCAGGAAATTAAAAATTAAACAGAATGAGACAACTGAAACAGAAATTAAATACCAATGAGGAATTGTGTAAATAACGTGATGTTACACCATGTATAGCTTCACAACTTTGTTAGGTATTGCAACACTAAACAGTGAAAATGCACTAACACCATTAATTGGTAAAAACACATATGAGGGCACACACACAACCGAATACAACAGGGATATATATAAAATAATGTTGTGAACTCCAGTGTTGTTATGTTAGCAGAAAAGCTATGGTTTTTAGTTGTCATACAATCACAAAATAGTGAAAATACTAGGCTGCAATCTTGTGTCCTGACCTATATATAGCTATTGTCACAGTCAGGAGCAGTACTTTGACATTTTAGTCTCCTATGTCAGAATGACTAATTATTAGGAGGGTGTAGTTTCTGTCTTACACGTATACTTTAAACGAGTGTTTAAGTGTTACAGTGAAGTGATGTGATTCAAAAATGTCACCGCCGGTGAAAAGTTTAATGCCTTCAATTAACATTTGTCGGTATATACTGCACGTAGTACAGTAGGCTACTTGTGTCTTTCATTAGGTGGTTACAGCATTGTAGTTTTGCTGTGCTGGTTTGTTTTCGTAAAATAAAGACATAATGCTCTCATGAGGTTTTTTCCCCTCATTACAGGATCGCCCAGTCTAACCCAATGTGGGACAGTTCAGAAAAGGCTCTGAGACGTTTCGGAAGGCTTGGCATTAAACAGGTAATAAAAGCTCCTGACCAAAATGAAAATGAAATAGGAAACCTGCCAGCCTGAAAGCAGGCTAAACAAAACTGGCACAACAAACAACGTTAATATTACATGGCACAGATGAGGCAATAAAACCCACTTATGTAAACCACTTAAGGCACATTAAGTGGAAGTGAGTATAAGGTGTCTGAATACCTCCGTTCATGTGGACGACTGGTTGGAAAGCGAAGTTCGTCTGGACTTTTCTACTGTAGGCGATGTGGGGGAATTTGTCCCTAAATGTCAGTGGGCCGATGTCACTCACTTAAAACTCGCCCGCAGTCGCAATAGTTCATTCGTTCTGGAGATTGGTGTCAAGGTAAGATGGCTTTTGATTGATTTGTTAAAGGGTCAGCTTGTTTGTAAATAGACAATATGCGAGATTAAACGAGGATATGAACAATGTGTAGCTGCAGGTTTAATTGTTAAAGTATATGCAGTGGATAAACTGCCATTAATAACCATACATGGTTCAGCCCAAGTATTAGGAATTAAAGGGCTTTTATTGCTGATTAGTATATTTTTTGTTTGTGTTTGAGGTGGTGCTGATGAAAGTTAATGATAAAGTTGGTGTGTTTTAACTTTGCATGGATGAAAAAATAGCTAGTGATTCTTTATTAACTCTGTTCAAAGGCAGTGATTTTAAAACGAGTCTTCATTTTGACTATATTGATGCAAACTGATGCATGATGGTTTTTGTAATAAGTTTTGATTAGTAAGATTGTTGTCTTGCTTTTATTTTGTTTTACTTATTAATTTACAATTATTGAGATCATCTCCACGGTTTTGTATTGTTGCGTTTATGGGCTTAAATTAGTGCATTGCCTAATTATGAAAGCAGTTTTGTGTTATTAGCCCAAGATGTAATGTTTCTGGGTATGTGCATTCAAGAGTCATAACTGTACTGATTTTGTTTATTTGTTATTTCCCATGTGCTCTTTTTCTCTCTCACTTTCTTTCACCTTATTGCCTCATTACTTCCTCTCTGTTGTTATTCAGATGAAGTTATATATTTTCACCATCGTCTGTGCGCTTTTACAAATCAGTCACCAAAACCCTAGGAGCCACTGGACTCTGCTGCCCCACAGTATGTTTGATCTCAATAAAAACACACTACTGACTCCAAGTTCAAATCATTCTTCCTTAACATCACTTTCAATTAATTTGTTGTCCTCTTGTTAGCTTTGGTTGTGGAGGTGGACGGCTCTATGGGCCAGCAGCCCCTGAGCTGCCTGGAGTCACCTGAGGAGCTGGCGAGGAGCGTCAACAAGAGCGAGGATATATTTTGGATGAAGAATGGAAAGAAGGAGCCACAGAGAGGAAACACATATCTGGTGCAGCTGGAGGAAAGCTTAGGAGGGGGCAACTACACCTGCCACAACAAGGAAGGATCACTCCTCAATCACACTGTGGTTCTGATCCAAGAGGAGGATCATAGGAAGATTCTTGTGAAAACTGACCAAGGTATGGTGTAATTTTAGATATTGCACTGTCGATGTTAGACAGCAGTTAGAATGGGGGAAGTACAAAAAAAAGTATTTCAACTGATTTTTTGTTGTTTGTTCTCTGCATGTTTGTGTGTCTTTTCTCAATATAAGACTACTTAAAGTGTTCCACTCGAAATTACAACGGAGAGTTCCACTGCTCTTGGACCTGGCACAGCAGTCGTGTTGGCAAAGTAGCATTTATCAAAGCTCGACGGTAAGCTCACAAACTGCTGAAATTTTTTTCTGTTTTGCTCTCCAATAATAACACAGCATTCAGACTCATGTCAGAGCTGAGACTGCACAGTGACACCCATAAATACCCCCTTATGAAAGGAAACTTAGCGAAGTACTTTTTTTTAAATGTAATTTAGGGATCAAGGTCATGTCTCGGGATCAGATATCATGTAAAAATAATACAGCTGCATTTTCAGGAGCTACTCCTTCATTTATTTGTCCATGAGAAGTTGTTACGGCTTCTTGGCGTGAAATCAAAAGCCCAAACTACAAAGTCAGTGTGTCAGCTGAATAAAAATACATATGTTTTGCAGCGTTTCTGACGACGGAGTCACCCAGTGTTCTGTGGATACCAGCAGTGAGCGTTGGGCATGCTCTACAGATGAGAGTAACTTCAGCTGCTCAGTGGACAACAGCGGACACAGTATCTTGTGTGTGGACGAGCAGCACTGCCCCTACGCAGAAGAGAACCAGAAGATCCACATCACTGTCTACTTGAGAACTAAGCACTTCCTGGTAGAGAACTACTCCAGACGCTTTTACCTGTCAGAGATAGGTCAGACATCTCAGAGGCCGGAATGCTTTTATTTATTTTTCTACACATAATGCAGTGTTTACTCATTCATCTCTTTATCTGTCTTTTGCTTTCACCTTCGATAGTGAAACCTGACAAGGTGAGGATCGCCAAAGTCAACAATACGATGATAGAGTGGAGTTACCCAAGCTCCTGGAGCAGTCCCTTCTCCTACTTCCCCCTCATTTTTGAGATTGCACAGCTCAAGGGGAGATGCAAAAGGTGTGAAAACCCATGCTCAAATGCCACAAAGGTAAGAGGACCCTACTGATTGCAAATGTGAAGATAATTGTTCTAAACTTAAGTGATGTGATGTCTTTTATTTTTATTTCTCAGACATTGACAGTGCGCTCTCCAGACATTTGTCAGTTTGAAGTCAAGAACAAAGCTAAGGCCGTCTGTATTCGAGCTAAGGATGCTCTCTGTAACTCGCAGTGGAGTGAGTGGAGCCACTTCAGGTCAGTCCTTCTCAGTGGTATAAAGTGGGAGATTTCCCCTCTAATGCTTGCCAGATATCCTGCAAACCAAACTTTGTGTATTTTCTCAGTAGCTTTAATTCAGATTGTCCGTTGTTGCCTCATAACCTTACTGGTCCAATTGTACCTTTTCCACTTAATTAATTACTAATTTTCGTGTCATTTGTATTTCAGTACAGATTGAAGAAAGGCAAGAAGAACAAAAACAACAAACAGCAGTAACATGTTTTTATTATGCTTTTCTATATTTGTATTTATCTTATCTTATATCATGGTATGTGTAATATGTGCTATGTGCTAAACTATGCTTAATGATAACTGAAAAAATAAAAGTGTTATTTGTTTCACTTACAATTAACAGCTTCATCCTTTCCGCATCCATAATTAGAAGAAGAGTTTCTTTTTAAAAATTGAACAGGAATATTGTCAAAGTCTCTCAAGTTTTTATCAAAACTTTGTATAAAATTTTCTATAATTCCACATTTCCATACTGCCTTCAACAGCCTGTAATATACACTCAACGTACCTTGTACCTTTAGAAGGGAACGGAAACCTCAATAGTTGTTTCTATTTGACCAATAACAAAAGGTTTAAATGACATCAGCTGTTTAAAGTTTCTTGGCTTTTCCCTAACCTGTTAGGTGAGAGTGTGGTATTTTGGTGGAAACTCTCCTCCTCACACTGCAACAAATCACAGAATGGTAATTTAGCTTTGAGCTAGTTGTTGCCTGTACTCTAGAAGAAGATACGGCACGCATGGTATTTCCTCTGTTACAAGCCAAAAGACACATGTTTTTTATGTTGTGTTTTCTTCCCATCTCTGTCTCTCTGTCCTTCTCTTTGGTGCAACGGCAGATTCATCTGCCAAATCAAAATCTTTCCAGATCACTCTGCATCTGCTTTACATCATTAAGGTGGTGAACAACCACAATATTACACTGGATCAGCTGAAAAACAACATAACTCAAAAAATCTAAAATTATGTCTGTAAACTGAGGTAATGGAATATACAGAACAGTAATATGAAAACTAAGCTCTCTGACAAGCTTCCTCAATATTCGTATAACGGGACTCTCACAGTATATTATCAGTGTATTGACCTCTAACTGTGACAGAGGGTGATACATTTGACATTTGCTATTAGTTAACACCAGTCTGGCATCTTCAGTGCCAGTAACATTTTCCTCTGACAGCAGAGGAAGTGCTTGTGTTAGTCAGAGAGTCCTTTGCTTGTGACCACTGCATCACAGTGAAGAGAATTAGGTGAGGGGCTTACGACTCCCTAAAATGAAGCCATGTGAGTTTCTGGTCCCCCATCACATGTTATGGCCTTATAGTGTATTTAAATTGTGAGCAGTTGAACCAAAAAGTGATTTCAATAGTGATTAGGAAGATATTTTGTGTAACAGCAATGTTTTTCACTGTTATTCCCCTCATCATCCATCAGTTTGTGACCCTTCATATTTCTCCAGTGGGGAATAATAAGTGGAAATGTTTGGTAATTTAACTCTTTAACTTTATACTATTCTACTACATATCAGAGGGAAATATTGTATCTATTTTACATCAATAGTTCTGAATTACTGCTCAGAATAATAATTGAAAGTGAAACATATGATCAGTTTATTAAATATGCATTGCTATAGATTAGCTTACCCAACAGCATACGTTTTATGTTTTTTACATAATGAGTACTTACTTTTGATACTTTATGTACATTTAACCTCCAATGCTTATGTACTTTTACGTGATTGGATTTCAAACGTGAGACCTTTCAATGTAGTGTTGCCACCTTTGCTTAAGTAAAAAAAAGTCTCAGTTCTTCTTCTATTACTGCAGGAAGACTTCTGGTCTAATGAGTACACACACGTGATTAGGATTAACATAGATACTGACTAAATTCAACCAAAGACGAGAAGTAAAAACCACCGATTGCTACTCTGTCCTATAACACTTGAAAGCATCACACATCAGTGGCCTGTAAGATGCCAGTAAACCAGGGCACGTTGTGAGGCAATCAAACTAGGACAAACTACTTAAATCTATTGAATCATAAATTTATACCGTATTATATAATTGAGTGGATACAGTAAATGTTCTAAATGTAGTCTATGACAGATAAGAGCTGTGGAAAGAAACATTTAGTTGAATATAGTATTATCTTATGGTAACTAAGCCTCTTTCAGAGATAAAAAGAAGATTCCAGTGCAGTTATTGGCGAAGTGGACCCAAATACATGTATTACTGAAATTCCACATCACATGTTAGAAAAGCCCAAACATAGGTAGTATGCTAATAATGGTAAGCCACTATTCTCAGCCCGTAACTTGGTCAGGAGTTTGTGGTGAACCGTCTCTTCACTTCCCTGTCATAAAAAGCAGAAGAGGTTATGTGATGTAAGCACTTTCAGGGGCCGACATACCACATGTATTAAACATGATACCACTGACCTGATTTTTTTTTTTGTTTTGCTTTACACACGGCACTTTTTGGGAAATGTTTAAACTTTTGTTCTTCAATTTCCCCCTCTATAAAAAAGTCAGAGCAATGTGGTCTACTGATACTGTAATTCATGCTGTGTGGCACTGGTGAAAGGGAAATTTTACATCTTCATTATGTCCATAAATCTTCTTGTTCAATTTACAGATTACGCAGTTGATCAATGTAAGGTCATTTGTATTATATTGAGTTCTGGTATTATAAAAGTATTAATATTTTCATTATCAATCAATCTGCTAATTGATTAAACTTTTTCTCTATATTGTCATAAAATAGTGATCAGTAATCAGTTAATTTAATTAAAATATGAATATTTCAGCTCTAGTTTACAGGATGTTTAATGGGTTAATGTTATAATTATGTATTACAAGCAGTAATCCACAATTCACTACACATATGTCTCAAGAAAAAAGATTACCATGGATAAAAAGAAGGGAACCTGAGATATAAAAGACAGTGATGAAGATAATTGATTGTATATTATGAGTAATGGAGAGTCAGCCATGACCTTGGCTCCAGTCTCACTATAATTGTCTCACATGAGCCACAAGGTTTTACTGGAACAAACGTGTCTGATTAATAGAGGTCAAAAGTTACAAGTGAAATCAAAGTGTTTGATTGCTTTAGGCAGCCATCAATACACGGCATATTTATTGGTCAATAAAATAAAATAAAAATTGATTCCCAGTCCTGAAGATGTCACTTTGTAACATATGGAGCTCCTCTCGTTGAATAGCTGAACAGATCAATGTTAGGAATTGTGATCGAAAAAATTTTTGCTGGTCTGGAACATTAAACTTGGGGGAAAGGTTCTGCATAACTTAGATTTAGTACATAAAATGTGGTCAAAGAACAAATCTAAGTTTAATGATATGTTGTGGCATTGAGCAAAACTTCACACAAAGAAGCAAAACAAGGCGTGACCGTCACATTTTTTTTTTGCTGTTGTTGTTTACTTTTAATGTGAGGAATGTGAACTCACACTGTGAACTGTCTGGTTTAGTGGACGGAATTAAGGATTTTCAGCTACTCACCCAAGTCACATTCATCTCAGTACACTTTATAGAAGAAATGCTGTACATCCATGAAAATGGTTGGCAGACTGTGACCCATGTATTTCCAAAAGAGCTCTAGATAAATCTGATAGTTCAAGACAGAAAAACATTTACTGCTACACAGGCCTCCTCTAAACGTATCTTCTATTACTTACTTGCTTGCTGGATAAATTCAGGTTTTTAGGCCTGATTGAAAATTATTTAATACAACATAAAAATTTGTCTTTGGTGGAACCAGTCACGACTCACAGATGTATGCAGCTGGTGAGGAGGAGATGCAATTAGGCACTGCTTCATTTTAATGAGCCACAAGCCAAAGAGGCCGGGAGCCACTTGGAGTAGTCAAACTAATCAAAATGAAGCCCAGTCACTTAAAATCTTAGAGTGTATGAAATTGTGTTCATTTTTCATTAAAAGCAATATCATTTATATAATTAAATCACATTTAGTTTCGACAAAAGCCCATATTTTTGTCATTTTGAAATTAAACACATAGCTGAACTATCTTACTACTCTAAATAGAGAAGTTTCCCTTTGGTGGGTATTTCATGATAACTTTTCCCCACAAAAACTAAAATTTCAAACCTCTCTGTAACTTTAACAAAAAGGAGTATTCAGTCAGAACATCAATCCAGAAAATGTGAAGGGATCTTGAACCCTTTCAAGACAAAAACAGATTTAAACTGAACCCTCGTGATTTATTCCAACATATCCTCTGATGTTGCCTACAAGATCAATTACATTCACAACTTGTTCTCATGAATCCACAGTCTCACTGACCTTGTCCACATTTGTTGACCATGTTAATTAATGGGCACAGAGAAACAGCAATTGGGGCAGATGGCATTTATCTGCATTCTACTTACTATGCAAGTGCTACATTTGAGAATACAAGTGACTTTTAGTGGACAAAAGATATTGTGAATTTAGTCGTGCAACGTCCATTTAAAGCCACTAGATGGCAACATTGCACCAAATACTGTGACAGGGATTTCTGCTCGATAGGTCTTCGAGTCACCTGAAGTAAAGTGGGAGAGGTCATCATTAGGAAGTAGCACAGATGTGTTGCACAGAAAATAAAAACTGAAAAATAATTAATTACAATTTGTTTTTTAGTAGTAGTATTAAATATTCCTTATTGTTTCCCCCGATTTCATCTTTGCATCTGTTTTTTCTGTCAATCTAGTACATTTCCTTGCATGTTTTAGAAGCGATTTAAGTCTAAAGACTTGTGATAACATTGTTTTTTTTATATCAAGGACATAACATTCTGCTGGTATCTTGTCTGCATACTTAAATGGTTAACATCTAAGCTATATTTGTCTTCTTTTATGTCGACTAGAGAGCATATTGTTAGACATAAGGTCCATTCTCATAAGCATATGCCTGCTTTTTACAACTAGTCATTTTTATGAGCATTCAATTCAATCAGGCCATTATTATCATCAGCCCAACCTTTTGATTTACGAGAACATCTGGTGGTTGTACAGGAGTGCCTACAACTCCTTTCCGATCAGTTACTTCAAAATGTCTAATAGAGTTATAACGCGAGGGATTTTTAATAGTCTTCCCATGTGTGGACACTTGAATAGAAGTCGTCTACAAACACAATCACACACACACACACCTTTAAGTCGTTTACTTGGCCTGCGCATTCCTGCCTGTGCGTAATGGCTCGAGATACTTTGCAAACCTTTATGTCTGGGTGCCATGGAGTTGGTAAATCACAGTATTAACATGGCTGGATCATCGGGCCCCAACTGACACCTCTGTTTTTGGATACTGAGACAGTGATATTTGGGCTAACAGTGTGTGTTGGTGCTCCGGGATATAAATATATGCCACCTCAGGGACCTGGAGTGTTCGCGCAGGCCCGCATGCCGACCAAGGCAGACAGATCGTGGCGAGAGAGCCGGCCACAATCAAACAAATGTGCTGAAGGATAGCTCTGACCGTGTGTGTGTGTGTGTGTGTGTGTGTGTGTGTGTAAAAGTGAGGCAGTGTGAGTGTGAGAGACATTTTATCTCACGTTGCTTTTATTTATCACTATGTATTGTATCGTGTACTCACGTGGTGGGGTGCTCACATTTCTCCTCCCACAGCAGGAGACATAAATAAACAGCTATAGACAATGATGAGATGATTGCGGGGTGTGGAGTCAAACCTTGACCGTTTATGGCATTTATAAGACTCAGGCAACTGGCTAAGACTCTTAATCTGTGAGTCTGCTGGCTGCACTGTAGATGAGCCTATGTATGCAACTCAGAAAATGTCATATCATTGCTAAAATGAGAGTAAAACTCGTTACAGGTAATTAGAATTACAAAAAAAGAATTATATTGTGCAAACTTGTGTTGATTTTGTTAGAATTTTATATTACATTGTTTCTGTGGCTGTTAATTGTGCAGTTGTAACTGTTATCCAAACAACATCAACGTGTCAAACGGATTCATTACAACAATCCTTGATAAAAATCTTAATTTTCAGAGATGCCCCCCTGATAAAAAAACGACTCTCATTCTTTCCATTTCATTATAATAAACCAAACAGTGCTTATTGAACAGATGGCCCCGAGACAATTCAATTTGACAATTTAGAAATTACTCTGTAATGATGGGGGGAAACCAGGACTGATGGGGAACATGAGGAGAGCTGTAACATCCTCACTTTCTGCAAGCTGGTCTTGCAGTTTTCATGCATGTGAGCCCACCCTGCACTTCCACGGTTCTGTGAGCAGCCATGCAAATTTTCTTTTTACTTCAGACATTTTTTTAATTTTTGGTTTTGAGCAGTTATTTTAGACTGTTTGCAATTTTTTTGGACAGCGGGACACAGCACAGTTTAGCTGTAATCCTCATATTTATGTTGGATTCAGCACTTAGTCCCGCAAGATTTATGTAATGCATCTAATCAAAGCTAATTTCAAACCATCGGGCTGTAACAGAAAAAATGTGCGCAGCGGCTGCCAGGCTTTTTGGTGAGCTGAAACTTTCTTAAGCCCATAATCTGCCAGAGTTGATACTCTGAATGAACACTTATCCTGCTCAACACAGTTGAATCAGTTCTTGTGAGAGAATACAACATTTATATTTCACTTTAAATGTTCAAATGAAGTCGATTTTTTTTTTGTGGTAATTTTCAAAGCAGGTTCATTTACAAACACTCATGCACAGTGTGGCGAATTAAAACACGGATGCTCGTCTGTGGACGTTAATTTCATTTGACACATATACACATAAGTAAGCTCAATTAAATCAATTAAACACAAGTGGTGCAACTATTCCTCAAATTAGGTCCTCTCATTGCAGGTTTTTGTCACATATATGTGTCACAAACGTCTGTTTATTTGTATATGCTCGTGTAAAAAAAACCTGATCGGATTCTGTTTCGTCTTGTTTTGCAGACAGATTGCGGGCACATTTTCATAGCTGCAGCTCAAGTGACAACGCAGCAGTTCAGTCGATGGATGTTACAACCACCCCGGGTCTCCCTATTCACTCTATCCTTTAGTCTCAGTGGGCAAACTGCGTGGATTAAACTAATGTCCTCCCCTGAGTTGATGTTTGATAGTCGTGAATATATTAATTGTCAACTCTAAACACACAAAGACACAGAACACACACTGGCACAAGCGAACGCACACACACACACACACACACACACACAGTGCACAGCTTCTGGCTAAGTGGCTGGGGCGGGACACTGCGTGGGACGAGGCGGGGACAGCAGGCAGGCGGGCGGGCAGCTTGCTGGTCGGGTTGGTGGACAGCTGATTGTCCGTGTTATTAACTGTGTTTGGGGGCGTTCCTGCTCGCCTTATAGACCACGCCTCCCTCACCTACTAGTTCTCTCCTGTTTGGCATCCCAGAGATGGTCCAAAGTGATTCCTCAGGGAAGAATAGAGCGCAAATCACCCGAGCAGGAGCTGACGAGGATCGGAGCCGCCGTTGCCCAGGACTGCCTCTTAATTGCGCGTAATCTTCCGTTTCATTCATCTGAGCAGAGGAGAATACTTTGTAAATAAAGAAACCGAGCGAAGGAAGGTGAAACGTGTTTCATCTCCTCGGTTTTCTTTCTCGCTGTGGACTGTTTGTTGCAGAAACTGACATTTTGCTTGTTTTTTGTCAGCTGCACCTTGATCCGGGGGACTGTCGCCAACTCAGTGCAGCCTCTCATCCTGCGCTTCCCCTTTCATCGCTCTCACGTTGTTCATCTTCATAGCTGCAGCTTCCCCCTCTTCTTCTTCTGCTGGAGTCGCTGACATGAGGTGCAGCTAACCCTGGATGCTGACAGCTCCCCTTTTTCCTTCCACATGTCGCATCTTTTGTTTACTTTGAGAAACACACGCGCAACTAAACGCCAAGTGAAATAGACCACGCCACTTTGCTCCTCTGACAGCGCGATCAAACAGACGCAAGAGGAGGGGAGGCAGGGAGAAAAAAAAGGAGGGAGCCAAGGAGAGGAGGATAGAGAGAGAGGAGAGAGAGTGAGAGAGAGATAGCGACAGTGTGAAGGTGCGTTTTGATGTTTGGCATCCACGAGAGCATCCAGAGGAGTGGGAGTAGTATGAAAGAAGAGCCCATGGTGGCCGGGATGAACGCGGTTCGGACATGGATGCAGGGCGCCGGAGTGCTGGACGCCAACACAGCCGCCCAGAGGTGAGCCCGAGGCGGCCTTGGCGCTGCGCTGACACCGGGGCGTGGAGACCGGGGGGAGAGCGCGTTAAGATCTGCGGTGTTAAAAGACGGAGCGGCTGTATCACTTGGGGCAGCACGCGTTCCCAGAGGACGCAGTTGTTGGATAACCACTGTTCCTGCTGGCTTTTTAAGTTTTTAGCTCTGAGTCCAACCATGATTAAATACTGTATGTGGCTCAAAGTACTTTAACACGTATCTGGACCGAAAGCACAGTCAGCTCCAAGCACCTTTAGGCTCGCATGGTTTAAATGTAGGCTTATATTAACTTTGGTTGTGTGGAAAGTGTGCTCAGAGTTTGAGTTTAAGATTTTCTGCTTACTTCGGTGGTTGTTCCTCTTCTTGATTGTGATAAAAGCAGAGAAGCTTACTTTTGATAGACTGCATGCATAAATATGTTTTACCAGCTTAAATTTAGTGGGTTTTTTCTTTTAAAGAAATAATTATTTGCTATGAATCAAGTTGGTCAAGTTTAAAATTTAAAAAATATCTTCTATCGACAGCAGTTCCACCATCATGAAAGCAATTCATCTGACCAAATTATTCTTGTAAAATAAATTAGTATATTTTCGGGCCTATTGCTCAATATTTTCACTGATTTGTTGCATTATTGTTAATGCTATTGACTAAACTCTAAAGGGCGTTTGTGCGCGTTAGAAAGAGGTTTTAATTAAATTATACATAGTTGGGTTTTTTTAGAACAGACAGTGACTGAAACATAAGCGACTATAGCTTGTAGTTTAAAAAGCAGATATCTCTTTTATTGCATTTGTACTGAATGAATTTATTTTAATTGCCTTCGTTGTGGATGGTGCTGGTTTGTGCTTATGTATCCGCAGCGGAGTGGGTCTTGCTCGGGCACACTTCGAGAAACAGCCGCCCTCCAACCTTCGCAAGTCCAACTTCTTCCACTTCGTGCTGGCTTTATACGACAGACAGGGTCAGCCGGTGGAAATAGAGAGAACCACCTTCGTCGACTTTGTGGAAAAAGAAAAGGTGAGTTTGCACATTTCACAAAAATAATATTTTTTTAACCATATGAGAGTTCGTAATAAAAATCTTCCAAATAAGATTTATGATGCATGCATTTTTAGCAGACTGATGTCTGACACAGAACACTGGCCCGTTAAGTCAAAGTGATAAATTACCAGACGTGTGTTAACAAAGTGGCCAGACGCACACAGCAGGGTTCATGGGTCCTGAAGACTTCCCTCATGTGATTTTTAGATGTGGTTTCCTGAAAGACTTACAGACTTCTGATTATTTTAGCTTTTCTTTATAATTACGAAACCTTCAGAATCAATTTCAGACTAATTTACTTCAGTAAGTAAATCAAGTGCATGAACACTTTTGTTGCCACACATAATATTTGAATCACATTTTTATGACACTCCAGCTCAGCGTGTTGCCCACTGCTGCAGGTGCTGTCAGACGAGGTGTTTAATTTTTTTAACAAACATCAATATTAGTGTTTGATACGTCGATTACGTGTAATATTGATCTGTTTGCAAGTGGCGCTAAAAGTGAGTGTTTTACTTTAAATGTTTGTTTTATTCATTAGCATTTAGTATCGACTTGTTTATTATTTATTAGATCCAAATGTCCTTCTGCTGTTGGTCAATATTAATAACACATTTTAATATTACGCTGTGATTTATTGGATCTAGAAATAATAAATATGTCAAATTATTATTATTTAAAATGTTGTTTAATTTCTATAGAACCATTCTAGGCATTTTCCATTTGCAATATAGGTTACTAAAGTTGTAAACAAGCCTATTTGCAAAGAACGTTTTTTTTTAATAACAGATTATTAAGAAATCGAGTTTACAGAATAGATCTAGACAAATGACATATAGAAAAGTTGTTCAAGTTACAAACATAACATTTTTTCTCTCTTGTGGTTGGGTGATAGAAACGAAGTAGATTTAAATTTGATCACGGTTACAGAGACTTACATGTTTATAATCTAAAACTATCAAGTGGAGGACGCGCAGTCCCAGGAGGAGATGGTTTGCTTGCTCTGACCGGGTCTGTTTGGTTTAATTTTCATAGGAAACGACGGGGGAAAAGACCAACAATGGGATCCATTATAGACTTCAGCTCCTCTACAGTAACGGTGAGTTTAGCTTCCATAATTTTTATGGAGCAATAACAGCGAGTGAATGATACGTTAAACCAAAGTGAGGAAACTCAGGAAGCAAATGTTTGAGGAGGTCACATCATTAATCGTCAGTTTACAGTGTTTTCTTTTAGGTATTTATTTTTTGTTCATCGTGAAGAGTCAGTGCTTTATCTGATTGGTAAAATGCTTTAAATTATGTTGTTATTTACACATTACTTGTATTATTATTATTATTATTATTATTATTATTATTATTATATGTGCTTGCTGCTACCTACAGTAAATATATATTTTATATGGTCAGTCTACTTTGGCAGCATATAACAACCCAAAGCACAAAAATAATCCCATCCTCTTTTTAACATTTATTTTTTTCAGTCTAGCTGCCTGACTTGAATAATTTAATTATATTGATTTAAAATTCAGAAATACCTGCTGTGTATATTTTCACAATTAGTTTCTTAAGAAATGTCTTCAGGGATAAAATCAGCAGGGGTAAAGAAAAGTAAATAAAATGTTAAAGTTTCAAGCAAACTGACATCATGTAACAAACACTGATACTCATTAGTAACCGTTTGGACTCCTTCAGTTTCCAAAGAGCCTCACAGGGGAAGTCAGAATGAATCAAACTTGTGATCTGAAATATCCCCCAACATGGGGAAAGCTTTGCCTCAGATGTGACATGAATCGTACTAGTTACATTTTAACCATCTCCCTTCGTCTCTATGTCTCTGCAGGGATCAGGACAGAGCAGGACTTGTATGTTCGTCTTATTGACTCTATGACTAAACAGGTGAGAGGTTTGCATGAAACTATAGGCTCAAAGAAATGAACTGTGTATCAGTTCGGGTGGTTGTGTTGGTCTGAATGTTGCCCCCTAGTTCCAACTGCCGCCCCCCTCCTCCTCGTCCTCCTCCTCCACCACCTTCTCCCCCTCCTCCCTCTCGCCCCGCTGCATGCCTGTGTCTGAGACCCTCAACTTCAGCACAGCACAGCCGGCTTGATAAACGACCTGTCTTACCTGTGGAATACATTTACAGAGGCCCAGAAAAGTAGAGGACATGTGTCCTCATACTCTACCTCTGCACAGCAGCCTGTAAGTGGGGTTGGTGTGTGTTTTTATAAGCGGCAGGCAGTACATGTATATGTGTATGTGTGTGCGTGTGGGGCTGTGTGATGTGTGCGCATATAGTGTGTGAATATCCTGGTGAGGTGCAGAAGCTGTTGTGTGTTAGTGTTAGTGTTTGAGAGAGACAGTGATGCATGCCAGCTCACTTTTTGAGGACCTTGACCCTCATTTCCTCAATGTGAAACAGAACAAACTATCCCTGAGTGCGTTATGGCCAATTCAATCACACAAAGAAATACAGAGCAGTGCATGTGGGCTGACGTACACTGAGGGAATTCTTCGTTTGGATGAATTAGATAACGAAGAAAATAAGCCGCTTCAACACTGTTTTGATATCAGCTCTTTTGTTTTGCCAATTCTGCCTCTAGTGCCATTAGGCTTGAAGAGAGTTTGCCTTAGAATGAAAGGAGTAGGAGGGGATGTTGTTTGTTGCAAGTGCGTGTGTGTTTGCATGTTTATTGGTGTGTGTGAGTGTGTGAGTGTGTGTGTGTGTGTGTGCAGGGTGATCACAGCCCTGGAGAGCATGTTGAGTGGGGTTGGAGGGGTAACCAGACTAGATTTTTGGACGCTGTGCTGTATGGACCAGATGGTGCACTATACTCCAGTCTGGCAGTCCAACTGCTCGCTGTACACAGCATATAAACATACGTGCACGCACAAACACATATGCACACGCAGGAGTACACACATGCACGGACACACACACACGCTTTCTCTCTTACTGTCTCTGTCAGAACAGAGCGTTCCTGTTCAGGAGGACTGGATTCCCACGATACACACATTTGCCAGATAGACACACTACTCCCAGATGAAAGACACACACACTTTTCTGTTTTTTATTTGCCCCTGCAGCGAGGCTCACTTTTTTTTCCTTTCAGCATGCCACATTAAAAAAAATGTAAATCACGGTCATTTGAATTTTTCTGTGATTTTTTTCCCCCATCCTTTAGGCGATTGTCTATGAGGGCCAGGATAAAAACCCAGAGATGTGTCGGGTCCTGTTGACCCACGAGATCATGTGCAGGTAAGACAAAACACACGCAGCAACAGCTCATTTGTTGGCCTAGCCAATACGTTTTATAGTCTGGATCAAGATGAGTGTTCTTCTCACGTTAGAGGTGTCTCTGTTGGTGTAAAGAGAAGGCAAAGACATGAGGAGCACTGCTAAATTACAATAGAAATCTTATCATTTTCCTCAAAGTGGGTTGGGGAGATGGGCCCTGGCCTATTTCTGTTGATAGGGGTGTGTGTGTGTATCTGTCTGTGTATATGTGTGTGTGTGCATCCCTCTCATGTTCAGCTAATTAGGACAAGGAAAAGCTCATTACTCAAACCCATCCTCCTTAGTCTGTGTAATACATGCCGTTTGCTGTGTCCTGACAGTGAGCTATGTGCAGGGGGATAGACTCGAATTACACATAATATACACACATTCACACACACACAGTCAAATATACTAAAGCAAGCATAGATCTCACAGGCCGTCGCGTGCATTTGCAATCAATAAAAGCATCGCGCAGCATGTGATTGTCACTCACAAACCAGCCATTTGGAAATACATGTAGAGTTACATGTAGAGAAATGGCTAGTGGCAAAGTGGAGCCACTTCCTGGTTATCACACAAGGCAATTTAGACCACTTGTTTTCATATGCTGCAGGAAACGGTCGAGATCAGAAATCTGATCTGGCTCTCCAAGCCTCCTGTCCTGAGGGACTCAAGAAAGTAGGGGGGAGGGTCAATCTCTCTCCCCCCTTCTCTTGCTCTCTTTTGTGTCTTTCTCCATCTCCTCCCACACACACACACACATACAGTCAACACAGGGTACACACAGACTGCATACGTACCGCACAGACGAGCAGACAGAGAGAAAAGGTAGACGTGATAATACTTTGGGGGGGATCGGGGGCTGTGGGCGGGGGGGGTTGACGCCACACAAAACACTGTTACATTGTAGTGCAGTCAAATGATTCAGAAAGGACTCGTCACATCAGTATGCAACCCCCTTTTACCCAGCATGCACTACTCCCCAGGTCCAGTGGGACCACTCTGTGACCCACTTCTGAGAGAGAGAAAGAGCGAGAGAGAGAGAGAGAGAGAGAGGCGGGATAGAGGGAGGGGACGAGCACTGAGGAAAAATAGAGAACATAAGATGTCTGGTTGTGTGATGTCTGACAGAAATGGAGCTAACCTGAGCCCTGGAGGCTAATTCAAGTTTGTATCCAGCCCCATTCAAGCTCACTGCTTTTGCTCTTCTCCTCCAAACTTTCCCTAAAATCACCCCGCTGATCTCACCTACTGTAGTGCTACAGCCCCAGTCTTACCTTGAGAAGCCCGACAGAAATCCAATTCACGTTGTTTCTTAAACTCCACCAAAGTCTCACGCCCTTTTACTCCTCTTTCTCTTTCCTGTAATGCTCATCTGACTTCCTCTCCCTCTTTGTGTTGTACCTTATCTTGCTTTCTCTGTCGTTCACATGTCTGTGACTAACTCCCCTTTGTCTCTGCCCCCCACCCCCAACCCCAATCTCCTCTTCTCTCACCTCCCTGCAGTCGATGCTGTGATAAGAAGAGTTGTGGCAACAGGAACGAGACCCCATCAGACCCTGTCATCATCGACAGGTAAGCAAATTTTGCCCTTTAACCCCGGCCGACGTGATTCTGCGCTGTCATCGTAAACACAAACACAATCACGTATGACTGCGTGTGGGTGCAAACGGGAACTGTGTGCAGAATACACAGGCGGCAAATGTTGCAGAAACATACTATAGATATAAAAGTCGTAACAAAATTGGAAAGTAAGCAGATGAAAGCCATTACTGACGTGCGATTGGGCTGGGAAAATAAAACCTGAAGGCCTAATAAAAGCAGGCCACAGGTTGTCTAAATCTCAGCATGTATAATCAGCTGTGTAAGCAAAATCTGTGAAACAGCAGTAAATAATATTCCAGTGCTATGTGTGTAAAGTGGAGGAGCAATCACAGAGCAGTTGAGCTCTGCTTCAAGTGTGGTCAAACAGTGTTTGTGTGGTTGGGCTGATGACTTAGCTGATGAGCAGTTAGGGTTACAGCTACAGCCTGTTGTGTGTGTGCGTGTTTTTGTATATAAATCTCACTCTGGGGCTGAGTGTGGCACTGATGCTTGTCTGCCGCTTTCGACTCTCGCAGACACACTTCTGCACACGCACACTTTTCTTTGAGTGCGCACCTTTCTCCTGCCGTCATAAACTACCTCTGACCGATGCAGCAGCGTGCATGATTTACGGTCAGTCGGAAAAAAGAAAAAAGCCTTGTAGATTTACAGTCCGGCCTGCACTGTGTGCGTGTGTGTGGTGCACATGTGGACGTACAGTGTGAGGGAAATTATTTGTTTATACTTGAGCAGTTGTTGGAGCGTGCAGAATTAAGGCTGCTCAAGACAGAATGAGAGTAAAAACTTGAACGGTGAAGTGATTTTCCATAAAGCATCACTCTTTCTGACTGTATTTTGTGGTTCATAACCTGTCCAAACTAATGTATTATCAGGTAAAAAGAAGTACATCGTACGTTAGGATTTAGGTTTTATGTCTAATTTGAATTTGTCACATTTGAGTGTATTTGTGTGTGTTAATGAGGCAGTGACCTGTGCTATCTGATGAACACAGCTGTCCTGTTCTTGCTGCTGCTCTGTCAAAAGCTACTCTTTACCTGTGTATGTGTGTGTGCATGTGTGTGCGTTCGTGTCTGTGTGCGCCACCCTCGTTCCGCTCCAGTGAAGCGGAAGGCCTCACCTCAGCGCTCCCTGAGACAGCTGCACCCCACCACGTGGCCTCAGACAACACGCCTGCCCATCACTCTGTGCCATATTTCTGATTTTTGTTTTCACGTGTGCATACTTGTTGAGTTTCTCATCTGTGCACTCTGTTGCTCAGTTTTTTATGGGGGTGCGTCCCAGTTCGCTATGGTTAAACTTTCCCTTCAGTTTGCCGCAGTTTGAGCAGAGCCACCTTGGCGAAACAGGCTGAGCTTTGCTGTGAACAGCTTTCCCACTCTGAGCATGTGTTGTGGTCGCTCGCTGGCGGTATTCCCCCGACACCCAATGGCTCAGGTGTGAGGGCAGCATTAACGAACAACAAATTAGAACAGGGGGAGGGAAAACAACAGCAATATCTCCGTTTTCCTCTTCAGTGAGCACTCTTTCTGGACAGGAAAATAGGTCAGGTGAGAGGAGAATGATTGGGGGGGTTGGCTTGTTTTAAAGGGGGGACTGAAGGGGAATAAGGAGAGGAGGGTTTATACGTTTGCTCATTTAGTACCAATATATTCTTGGCAGTTGTAATAATCAGGGATTCATAAACAAACAAACAACTGCAAGGGTGAAACTGACTCAATTACCATGAGTTCCCCTCCTTCAAATTCATAAAGAAATACCATCAGCAGCCCCTCTCCACCCTTGAAGTTATTTAGTTCGTTAAATAAGGGCTCGTTAGCCCTCTGCTGTTTCGCAGAGATGATTAGATTTTACAGCCCTAATTAGCTGGGCTAGCTCTAACTCTTCTGGAAGAGTAATGGGTCTGATTGCCTAATTAGCTCTCTCTCGTTAAGATGGGAGAAACAGGCCACTGCAGCAAAACCGCAGGAATGAGGAAAAATAAAGTCAGCTAATGAGAAACTTATTTGATTGTTAGGAGAACAAATCTGGTACAGTGTGGATCGGCAGCGCTCTGGGTACTGTACTTGCTCACTGGGAGAATCTCTCACCCAACTCTTTATTTCGCCTCCTGTTGAAAAGAAAATTTGTTTGGGCTTTAAAGCATCTACAAGGAGAAATATGATACAGATTGTAATTATGAATCTTATTTGTTTAGGCTATGATAGCAAAAAGCACTTTAACATTTATTAGATTTTTTACTGAAGTTGAACAAAACCTCCCCCGCCATCTGTCCTCTTTTCATGCCGTTATGCCATCGAGTTTTACGAGTGGCGTTACCATCTCTGACTGACTGAGGCTTCAAAGTCCATCTGAACTGAATCATCAGTCAGTGCTGAAGATGCCATATTTTACTATTTAACCTCTGAGGTGCTAAGTTCAGAAATTCAGAGAGGCCTTAGCATAACATGTGGTGTCTGTGCTTGACACTGGGCATGGGAAGCAGCTGAAAGGTGAGGAGCTCCTGTGTGCCTCTCTATGTCTTCCCCAGGGAAACCTGTGTGGTCCACTTTAGCCTCTTACAGAGGCAGGATAATATGAGGGGAGTCCTTAACCCCCACTCCTCCACTTCCACCCCTCTCTCCATCACTCCTGGTTAGCGTGGGGTTAATCATATGCAGCCACTGCTAGTCAGTCTATCATGTGCCTGGATGGGCCTCAAATTACAAGCACATTTTCCTCTCACCCGCGTAGACCTTTGCTATCTCTCTGCATAGTTTTTCTTAAATTAATCTCTCCACAGAACTGTTGATATTAATTTACCTGCTGCACCCATACAGTTGTGGACTAATCTCTTAACCCTACTCGCTTTGGGGGTATGACTGTCCCTCCGGCCCCAGGTGTCCTCTCTTGCCTCCTACCACCTGTGTCCTGTGGCCCTTTCCTGCCCATCCAGCTCCCCCAGGCGTGCCGCAGGGTGTCCCCCAGGCAGGGAGAGCCTCTCTGTAGGGGGGAGGGGAGGGGGAGAAACTCTCTGTGACCAGAGATAAGGATCCACTGGATAGCCCTGCATATCCCATGATTCCTCTTTCCAGTCACGGTGCAGGGAGGGATGTGGGGGGTGTCAAGTTTACATGCACAGACGATGTTATTTCAGGTTTATAGCTGTTTTGGAGTGTGTGCTTGTGTGTGTTTGCATTTGCACACACTCCTGCAGCCCGCCGTTGATGTGGCCCATTTCCGTGCATGCGTGTCTATGCTTGTGTATCCGCGTCGATGTTGGTTATTTCCCCAGGACTGTGTGTGTGTGTTGATGGAGGCCATTTCCTGGCGAGTGTGTGTGTGTCTTGAGTGAAGAATGTCGGGCAGGAAGTGCTCCTCCCGGGGAGGATGATGTCATGGCCGGCAGTTTCCTGTTCTGTGAGCCAGTGAAACGGACTGACTCTCAGCTTCATGGTGGTAGTTAGCACTTGTAGACCTGGTTTTGGTTCACCTCTGGCCTGCCATAGTTCTACACCTGGTTTGGTTTTACACCAGTTAAACTTCGAGGCTAGCAATGTTGTGTTGTGTTGAGTGCATTTTCCAAGCTGATGGATTTTGCTGCATAGCTTGTTTGTCAGTCTCCCCCTCTTTGTCTCTCTCTGTACTGTTGAAGGGAACCCCCTCATTGTTTTGGTTGTTATGTTTGGATGCACTTCCTGGGGTGAGAGGTCATGTGTTGCCTTGGCTGGGCTAACGTGCGCTAGTGAATAATGTATGTCATTGACTTTATGTCAGCCCTGCCAGCCCCCCAAGCCGAGCCCACCCATGTTTAATTCATCCATCTCATTTGTGTGTGTGTGTGTGTCATTTAGAGGCCCAGTCTGCACCTGTCCAGCCATTAGCCCCCTTCTCATTTGCATTTGATGCTAATGTCGTTTACTGGCAGCGCCTTCCGTCCCCTCAGCTTAGTTTCACTTTCATATCCATGACTGTGTGAGTGAGAAGGTGGAAACACACTTACTGTACAGCTATCCTGCATTCTTCTGACTTTCTGCTGATGTCACTGACATCTGAATATTGAGATCTTCATCCCCCCCCCCCATACCATGCTCTGTTTTATTTTATGCAAGATTGTCACTCATTTTTCCCTCTATTCCACTTTTTTTCTCACAGTTGGTTTCCTATTGTTTCTCTGACCACCTATCACTAGCTTTCCATTTCCCTCCAAGACAAAGAGAAGCTGGAAACAGCATCATGAGACCCAGAGGCCGACAGTATTTTTCTTTTGGTGTTACTCTTTGAAAAAAAAAAAGAGATCTTCTCAGATTGTGCCTTGATTTTCTGCACGGCCCTTTTCTCTTTTTAAAATTTAATTTTTTTCTTGTTGATGTGCTGTTTCTGCTTTCTGCAGTTTGAAGGGGGGACAGCTGCATTAGATGTTATGGGAGGCTTTGAAAAGGACTGGCCCTGAGCTGGTTGTGGTGTTTGTGCAGGGCTCAGGGGCAAAGAGGCAGAGTTGCTGGCTCATCGATATGCAGACACAACTCCCCTCCCTCAGGTGTTGGCTGCCTCACAAATCTGCCTCACACCCACATAAGAACACACACACACACATAGACACAGATGCAACTCTCACCCTCAGATAAACTCATACACAGTACATAAATACATATGCAGACGCACGCATGCGCAATTTTAAGAATCCACAGGCGTGCAAAAATATAACGCACACACATACACACACATTGACCTGCAGCTCTCTGCATCTGTTTGGTTGTGTTCTTTTTTCCCTGCGGTAGTTCCCCCCCCCTAGGGTTGGAGGAAAGCGCAGCCCCAGGGGACGGACGGCTGCGCTGATTGACAGCAGAGAGTTTGGAGGTCGAGGAGCCTCTAAAACAGCGCTGCCTCTTTCTCTCTCATCCAGACCTTCCGCACTCTCACCGCCAACAACTGGCTCGCTTTCATTTTCAAACACCTCACGAAAAATTAACACATCATTCGCAGAGCAAACA